GGACAGGGCTTGCTTGTTTGTTTTTAAAATAAAAAAGTTCTTTTTTGGCTAATATAAAAGCCTTTTCACACCAAAAGTGAAATGAATAAGCCTCAGGCTGAAGGGAAAGTACATTTACGTCCGTACAGTAGAATACAGAAGAAGAAATTTCAACACACTTCAGCAATAAAAAAAAACACACAAGTGTTTGTCTAGAGTCATTTTTGCTTATTAGTACGGTTGAACTGGATCATCGAAGGTCAGAAGCAAGGACATTGGTTAATAGAATGGGATTAAATACATAAAGGATATTTGTGTTGTTTAACATTTAATTATTGCAGGTTTGCGTCATATTCTGAGTTGCATTATTTTTATTCAGATTTCATCAAAAATATCTTCATTTGTGTTCCGAAGATGAACGAAGGTCTTACAGGTTTGGAACAACTTGAGGGACAGTAATTAATGTCAGAATTTTAATTTTTGGGTGAACTATCCCTTTAAGAAATTTAAGATTTAATTGTGAAAATCTTCCACTGACAGCTGAACATTCCATCATTCAAAATGTAAACAACTGTGATATCACATCATTGTATTTTCATACTGAATTGCGATCAGTTACCTCCATTACATCCATGTGCATACTGAATTGCAATTGGTCTCATCTTTTTTTACACTTCCGTCCAAAAGTTTGGAGTCAGTGGGATTTTTTAATGTTTTGAAAGAAGTCTCTTATGCTCAATGAGGCTACATTTATTTGATTAAAAATAAAGTTACAACAGTAACATTGTGAAATACAAGTACAATTTAAAACACCTGTTTTAATATATTTCAATATATTTTAAATTGTAATTTGTTACTGTGGTGGGAAAGCTGAATTTTTAGCAGCCATTACTCCAGTCTTTAGTGTCACATGATCCTTCATGAAATCATTCTAATCATTCTTATATGCTGATCCATTGAACAACAAACATTTCTTCTTATTATCAGTGTTGAAAATATTTTGCTACTTAATATTTTTGTAGAAATTTATGTTTTTTCAAGGATTATTTAATGAATAGAAAGTTTTTGTTCCCATGTACTGTAAGTCACTTTTGATGACAGTAAACTATAGTTGAATGGGTATTTTCTGAATAAAAGCATTCATTTCTTAAAAAATCTTACTCTTTTTGAATGGTAGTGTTTCTAATCAGTTATAGCAGCACATGACTATCATCAAATGAGTAGTGTGTCGCAGTATTCATTAAAAAGTATGTGAAAATACTCTGCTACGCTCACTCACTACCCTGATTCTGCTAAGATTCAGCAGTGCACATCTGATTTACACTATCCTATAAGGCCATGGGAGCCATCAAATTCAAGAAGTTGAAAAGGGGGGGAGGGTGGGTGAAATTGTAAGATGATTGGCTCTTTTGAAGTGTAAACACTACAATTGTTGCTAACAACTTAATTTTAATGTGACATGTGAATGGATTTTTGCAAATAGTATGTGAATAGAAAAGCAACTTAAAAAAAAATCGGAACTTTAAACATCACTTGTTTGCTGCCTTGCAAGTGTTTCTTTTCTTTTCTTTTTTTTTTTGCTTGACATGAGACTATTATTTTACTTACATTGTGTAACTTTAAAAAAAAAAAAAGCAACATTCCAAGAGAAACAGCAATATCTGACATGTTACACAACGTAGCAGTGCCCTTCAACTGGACACTTTCCGTTCAGACATGAGGCGAGGGATGGTCGGGTGTACTTACTTCTCTTGCAGCCACACTTTTTAATCCTTTTGGGATCTGTGATGTCATCATGACATGCTTTGCAGTAGAAAAATGCTCTGAAGGAAGACAGTAAAGAATTGCACATTCCGCTTCAAGTGTGCCCTACACATTTCACAATGAAAAATTAAATACAAGAGCACAAGTCATTTTGATGGATTTAGGAGATGATTACCTTTTCACCTCTTTGGCATCACTGGCGATAAAGAATCCCAGTGTCCCCTCCTGCATCTTAACATGATTTCCCGGGTTGATCAGAATACTGTTCAGTCAGAAAAAGAGTCATTGTCATTAACATGAAAACCAATCTTGCACATTCAAACACTCTAATCAAGAGGAATGGTACACGTGGTTTTGGACCTTGTTAAGAAGACTGATGAGAAAACATGCATATACTGCATCAAATCTTGATACTGAAATTGAAATGTTGTACTCATAAAATACTGCAGGGAAAGGGACCTATTCAAAAATACTGCTTAGGCCACTTGGTTTCACACAAATACAGTACAGTACACAACAGAATGACCTGCCCATTTTAATTCTTTTTTTTATTTTTTATGATGGTCTTAGATTGAATGGTCTTAGGTGATGAGATAAAAGAAAGAATTAAAATTGGGGCAGAAACAGTCTAGGCGTTCTGGTCGACAGGCCTTCAGAAACTCATGGTGTGAGGTCTATCACCACACAGAAGCGCAATTTAATTCCTTCTTTAGTGCGGTGGAAAGCAAGGGAATGACCAGCCCACCAAGAGTTCAGGGTGCATCCTGGGCCTCTGAATCTGCTGCAACAGCATAACTAAGCCAACACAAGCCATGCAGTTTTTCTTCAAGTTGCTACTGTGCAAACAAGAAAGCAGAATTCCAGAAATCTTTTCATAAATATTGTTACCATTACATTTGAAGCATCAGCTAATAAGCCATGGCTATTACTTTTATTGTTGTTGTGTAACCTAATTAAAAATAAGCACTAAGGCAGAGGTTGTGCCACCAATAATCAGTATATGTCACTCTGACAGACTGATTTGTAAGTTTTGTTATTTTATATTTTTATTCATCATGTTTAACTTTACTGACTTTTATATACAGATATGATATACTGCATGTCATATCATCTTGCTATTTTTTTACTTATTATTTAAATTACAATTTGTTTTACCTGGGATTACCTTTTGCTGCATAATATTATTGTGGATCATTTTTATTTTTTATGAAATAGAAACATTTTGCAACAATGTAAGTCTTTACTGTTTCTTTTTAATGTCAAAATGACAAAGCATTCTGAATCAAACTCAGTACATTTGTTTTGGTTAACGCAACCTTTGCTCTGAGTTTTGGCTCCTAGCGATTGCTCAATCCCAGGCTATTGTGAAAAAATACCAGTCGCTGTCAAACCTATGCTAGCCCTGTCAGTGTCTCTTTGTGACTTCCCTTGGTGGGCAAGGAAGTTTTGATGTTTATGAATTCAATGTCAGCTTCTGCCAGATATTTGGGAGAGTCTGGTTTGCAAATGTAGAGGTTCAGCAGTGTAGACAGAGCCACTACTGAACCACTGTATCATTCCCCATTAATTAGACCGAGACGAGACGACACAACACAGCCATCAATGGTTGCCAGTTGTTAGGAATCATCAATGAATTGAGTGGTGGCTGCAACACTTGACAAATGCCCAGCCTGACTAGAGCGTCAAAGCCAGAGAGCCCAGACGAAAGGAAAAGGTACATGAAAGATATCCTATTATTCCACAGACTTGAGACGGTGGCCAGCATCATTGGCTCTCAAAAATCCATACACTTAAATACCATTTGATACATGCAGTCTATCAAAATCCTTTCCTCTGGGCTCGTCAAATAACCACCTCATGAGAAATGAAGGCCAAAAGAGGGGGATTTAATCCATCATAAAGCGGAAGTTGGCTGGTCAGTTAATGAAAAGGTCAAAAGCGCTCTGTCTTGCTTGAAATCATTGTGCTGGATTATCACTGAGCTTTACATCTGATTAAATAGCCCCCTTAGCGAGAAGCAGCACATTTGACATGCAGTTCAGAAGATGAATACAAACAGACTCATTCACTGACATATTCACACACATTGCTCCCCAAATTTGAGATTTTCACACCGTTTGACACTAAACCATACAGAAGCCTAATGCAATGGGCTGATCACAGACCGATTGCATAGAAACATAGCCTTCCGTTCAGACCAAACCTCATATTATGGGAAACAAAGCAAGCATCACACATCACGTGACAGAGCATACGGGCATGCGGTTACCAAAAGCATCACAACCAAGGGAACATCTAAAAGAGAGCAGGTGCAGCTACCGCACAGCGGCACGTAGATGCAAACTGTTGCAGTAACTTCTGTGCAGTTGGATTGTTGTATAGAACACCAAACTGACAGGAAGTGACCTCACTTCATAAACATCTACTCAGAGACGCACAGGCATTTGGGGACATGATGAACGTCTGTTCCAGACAAACAGATCGACCGTTCAGTCACACACACTCGCACTCGCACTCGACAGACATCACACACACACAAACACA